GTGCATATGTTGATGCTTTCCCTTCTGGGTTGAAACCATACATTAAGTTTGTCAAGGATGTAGCTGCAGATGGGAATTGTGGTTTCAGGGGCTGCTTCAATTGGTCATACAGAAGATGATTGGGCTCAGGTTAGGCGTGACCTATTGGGTGAGCTGCACACACACAAAGAGGAATACATTACACTTTATGGGTCCTATGAAAGGTTTGAAGAATTGACAAGCATATTGTCATACTTTGAAGACAGTCCTGGATACTCATATTGGATGATTATGCCAGACATGGGCCATCTTGTTGCATCGTGCTACAATCTTGTGTTATACCACTTGTCTTTACAGCAATGTCTCACCTTTTTACCTCTTAGAACCGTGCCAGTACCTCAACTTGATAGACGTGAGATTGCCATTGGGTCATTGGGGACACATATTCGGGTGCAGGTATAACAGAAACTTATCAATTGCGTTTATGCATGTAGAAGAAGTTATGAGGTATGACCACTAAGTCAATTGATATTTGGTGCAGGTTTTGTTGCAGCCAGGCCATCCAGTTCCTCCTATTGCCACTAATTGGAGAAAATACCGTCACCCTTGCGTTGTGGACTGGGATGATGCATATGTGCGTCGCATTCAACATTTCAAGGACATTATTCATGATAATGTAGCTACTCGAGAGACTTTTGATGTTGTTGATGTCGCATGACACATGTATGCATTTGACAATGTTACAATTATGGAAGAAATTAATGAATGTGTTTTTTATGTTGATGTGTTATGTTTTGCAATGTGGATTGAATGTTATCGACCATTGTTACCATTCCATTGTAATAAGAAAATATCATTTACAAAATCAACGACCATTGTTACCATTTCATTCTAATAATAAAAGGTCATTACAATACCATTGTTGTCATTCCATTCTAATAAGAAAATATTAACCACTGTTACCATTACAACAATGTCATCTTACAAAAAACACCAAACAATATTCATCAACTAACAAAATAACATGTAACAACATAACATGTCACGAATCAACTGTATGCCTACGCCTAGGCCTATGACTGTATGTCAATGTCGAAGATGGAAAGCGACCTCCAGCAGAACTACGTCCAGCAGAACTAGGTCCAGCTTTGTCAATGTGCTGACCTTCAAGAACATGTGTCATACTCTCGATAGCCTGGTAAAGTCGATAAGGATGGCGAATCCCCTCCTGATAACCAGCGTCAATAATAGGATGTGAAATCTGCAGTGCATATGCAATACGCTACATTTGAAAAGAATATCACATTTTAGGGAACATATCAGAAAAAAAGAAAGTAAGTTACATATGCATCAGAGAGGATAATAGATTACATCCGCATGTTCGCTGAAATCCTGATGGTCATGGACACGCGGTTCATTAGTGTGCTCGACATATAGGTGCGTGATATTCTTATACCAATCCATGTAACCCGGTACACATTGCCAAGGCTGACGAACTGGTGTGCTCCTCCGTTGCGCAGACAACACGTGGTTATCCCAAGCCTCCCACATCCTATCCAAGTATCTGTACATGACGGTATATCGTGCAGATATGTTGCCTCGTGCACCACGACTGGGAGCTAGCGGTGCATCTGGGATGGTTTGAACCCTGCCAAACTGCCTCAAAACTCTATCTGGATGATAGGGTTCGACAACGTCTTAGCACTTTAAGCATCCATGGTAGAACGTAACCGGGTTACATGGATGCCGGTCTCTGCAGCTGTGGTATGGATCCCAGATAACCTGTAAACGTAAAGTGTTTTTGCATTAAAGTACATAAAGGGTAAGATAAATGAAAGTCTTAAAATTATCGCAAGATGAGTAAACTTACATCAGTAGCTACTAAACTGTCAAGCTCGGCTCGAAATGATTTCAAATGGTCAATGGAGGAACCCGCCTCTCTCCTAGATGCCCAATGGTACACGTGTGGCATGTCTTCATTGTAGCCCATGTTCTGATGAGGTCGTAATGCTCGGAAGTGCTCATAAATCCACGCCTCCAAAAGAGTCATATAACCACCCATCTGCTTAACCCCAAACCGGCTAGCAAACCCCAACTGTCGATATAAAAATGCTAATGCAGCAGCACCCCAGGCATAAGTATGTATAGATCCCAAATCCATCAATAAGCCGAGGTAAACAACGGGAACCCTGCCGCC